TTTTTCATTAAAAAAGAAAAAACGAGGCTCATGAAGGAATGACCTAACTGGCACAGGCACTAACTTGTCTCAAGAACTTTACACATTACATGTGACTATAAAAGGATAAAAAGTCAGTATTTAATAAATAAAAAGTCATGATTGGCAAATTGCTGTGGTATAAGAGGAATAAAACATTTCTGACATGCTACTATTGGAAAATAATCGTTTTCAGAGTGCTAAAGTAACTCTGCTTAAGAAACAAATGTATACACCCAAAGCCTTGACTACTACTACATCTGAGTAAAGGGACACTGATTCAGTGATATTTAGCCAAATAGTTTCGTTAAGAAGCCATTTGTGCTGGTTTTGAAAACAGGAGCTTCAGTTCGCCACCAGAGAGCTGGAGTTCAGTCTGTGATTTATGCTGGTTTGGAGCACAACCGAGGCATGTCTGCATCTACGTTAAATCTGGTGACAAAGTGTTCTCTTGAAAACCGCAATCGGGACATTGTCAAACCGGCAAAAGACTCAGTGATCAATACAAACCGAATTAGCCATCGCTTCCTTCCAGGACAGAATTATAGATTCTCATAAAGTATCTGCCTTATGGCTTTTAGTAATAGAGATGGCGTGTCCATGTCTGGGGTGATCACAGATTTAATTTAGGCCTGAGCTCACTTCTGGATTCTTACGCGACTTTTGGCAACCACTGAAGAATCTCATGATGCTCATGAGGCTCCTGCATGCAGACACACAGCCACTATTTTTGTACACACCTGTGCAAAGTGTCTCTAATCTCCCACCTCGGTGTTCCTGCATGTCTCTTCGCTCTGTTGTCCATTTGTGGAAACATCAGAGATGTGCAATTTATTCTAAAGCTTGCTCTTACGGAGTCACACGCCTCACAAGTAGCGAGGAATGACCTGTTCTAATTCTGTTAATGAAGGAAATATTCCTGATCATGCACAGATTGTATGCTTGTAGAGAGTCAGAGTTGTTGTTTTCTAGGCTAAATGTATTGGTGTTAATACACTTTAACACAATTGCATATGGTTTCAGGCAGGAGCAGGCTGTGGAGGTGTGTTGTATTCGCTGGCACCCACGAGAATCGTACTGAGGGATATGGGTGTTGAGGATCTGTGAGCCTCAGCAGGGGGATTTATCACAGCAGACAGGCCTGAAATAGCCGAGCTCAGCGATGGATGAATGTATGCGCTTGTTCATCTTTTTTTTTTTTTTTCAGTGCTGGAATATAAATCTAACCATATCTGTGTTAGCCAACCCCCATTCTCATGCTATAGTGTGTACCTGCTTTTCTGAGATGACATAATACACGCTGTACATGATTAATGATCAGATATATTTGAAGTAGCCAACAATTTTGTATATGATTTAGAGCGGTTTCAGTGGGATTCAGTAAACAAATCAATTTTAGTGGAAGAAAGGTGCTAGAGGCCACTCCGCCTTCGGTGAGACTGACAGGCACAGAGGCCACGCCTCCTTTGCCGAGACTGACAGGCACAGAGGCCACGCCTCCTTCGATTCCCTTAACTGTTAGCTACATTAGCCTTATAGCTCATAAGAAGCAAACTTCAAACACAAAACCTTGCTAAATTTCATTCTGACAAAATGTTTCCTTTAAGTATATTTGTGTTTATTTGAAACATTCACAATAGACTTTTGATGTGTGAGTTTATGCCTTGACAAAAGCAGAATTTCGCTCCTGATTCTTTTTTAATTACAGGGTTAAGTTGACTTCACTTTAAAACTGTATTACACACTGTACCTTAAAAAAACGGAAAAATGATGTTATGTGCCAAGATGTAGAATTTCCTGTTTAAGGAATAGTCTTGCAAACACTTGCCACATTTTTAAATGTGACTAAAAGCAAATACATTCTTACAGTTATAGTTTATTTGATATTAAACTTTCGGGAATGATTATATTATACAAATCTTAGCCATTAAAGATATAGTCTGGGCAAAAATGCTAATGGAGCTAATAATCTGTGGACTTTAAAGTTACGTCGGCTTTTGAGCTTTTCCACTGACTGATAGCCGTGTTAGCATATCCGGCTGATCTATCCCTTTAAGGTCTTTATTTGATATAAATGGCACTGCTATACCACGGACCCTACTGTGTAGGGAGGAAATGAACACAAATCTGCAGCAGAAATGCAACACAATCAGCTGAGTGTCACACGTGCATCCAACCATGTGACATCACTCTCAGGTCCAGTGATACGACACGGCACATGTAGTACAGTCATGCTTCAGGGAGAGTGTCACACGGTGGACTGTGTGTGCACAGCCACTTCCATCCATCCTGGGCCGTGTGTGTGTGTGTGTGTTCCCTCAAACTCCTCAGAGGACCTGCTCCGTGCTCGAGGCTGAGATGTCCAGCAGCCTCCAGGCAGCGTAGGGGTTGAACTCTTCCTGGTCTCGACACAAAGCCCAAACATACATCATCCTGAGGACTTTCTCCTAAGGACCAGAAGTCACACAGACAGACAGACACACAGACACACATATGAGTGAGTGAGTGAAGTGACTTGTGGCCAAGTGTGGTGACCCATACTCGGAATTTGTGCTCTGCATTTAACCCATCCAAGTGCACACACACAGTAGTGAACACACACACACACACACACCCGTGAACACACACCCGGAGCAGTGGGCAGCCATTTTAGCTGTGCGCCCGGGGAGCAGTTGGGGGTTCGGTGCCTTGCTCAAGGGTCTCACCTCAGTCGTGGTATTGAGGGTGGAAGAGAGCTCTGGTCATTCACTCCCCCCACCTACAATCCCTGCCGGCCCGAGACTCGAACCCACAACCTTCGGGTTACAAGTCCGACTCTCGGACCATTAGGTCACGACATGTTAATGAAGCCTCCTTATGCATCCTAAAATATGCAGACTGTATAAAGCAGGTCTGATATTAGGCAGAAAAAAATATTTTCAGAGAGAGAGAGAGAGAGAGAGAGAGAGAGAGAGAGAGAGAGACTAGCCCTTTAATGAAGGGATAGCTCATAAAAATCTTATCTCCACATTTGGACAATTATTACAATTTTTACAATTTTACTTCTGAAAGTATGAGGCTAATGTAGCCAACACATAATGGAAGTCTATCTGACCAAAAATCTGTTCCACAAATATCAAATAAAATGTCATACTTACTTCACTGACATCATCGAGTTAAATTAATAACAGAAATAGCAGGGAGTGTCTGTATTTACAAAATTACTTTCAAAAAGTACAGTCATACTTTGGGAGACGAGATCTGGGAAAAAGGTTTTGGGTGTTCAATTTGGCCGCCTCCAAAACATTCCAGTGTTTAGCTTTATGCTGTTTTGTTCATGTTTATAAATTACAATAAGTCACACTGTGTCCTAAATCACATCAGGTCTGAGAAACTGGATGTGGTTTTGAGAAATTGCCAGAAAATGTATATTGAGTGAAACAGACCTCGCTAACTGACTGCATTTTCATGCAGAAACATTAATCCTTTACTGTCTAAATCACAGAACGTTAATCTTGGCTCTTACCGGCCTAAAGTGTCTTCTTCAATGTCCTATATTGTGTCTCAGTCAATGTGCTCTAATAAACAACTCCATCTACATTCAAAACCCCATCGACAGGCTGTCAGAAAGCCTTCATGTCATATTAATGACCCAGCAAATGTGCTTCTTAATCCAACTCTAACCAAATGCAGCTCCACTCCAAATCACCAGCCTAATAAAAGCTGATTTGTAATGTCAAAAAAGGGGGGAAAAAGCCAAAAATTTGGATTTTACATTTTACTGATGTGCTCTCTGGAACTGAAGTGTCTAGCTTCCCATAACTGCAATGTCTAGCTACCTGGAACTAGAATATCTAGCTCCTGGGACCTGAACTCCTAGCCCAAGGCTACATTATCTGGGCTTAGTCCTTCTGTAGGTATTGTCATATTAGCGACCATAGCAATATGTGATATTCAGAATGCTCTATTTTCTGTTTTTCTGATTTATACTTCTGCGTCTATTTATCTGCGAGCATGTGCACTGACTGTCGCATAGGTGTCTGCCAGTATACTTGTACATAACAAACACTTGTGCTAGGGGGCAGTGTGGAGTACTAAACAGGCCCTGACCATTGCCCTGGGACTTTCAGGTTAAACCCTGTTTTAGCTAAAACAACTAATTTGCACACTAATTTAAGCACCTGCTTTGGGCCAAAGTGAAAAGGGGCCAGCAATCCTACCCTCTCAATCTGCATCAGAACTCACCGGGTCGCCCTCCACCACTTCGCCCTTGGTGTTACGGATCACCATTACCAGCTGGGCCTGGAAGGTGATGATGAGGACAGGGCCTTGTTCCATCATTTTCCCCATGGCCAGCTACACAGACAGACACACACACACACACACACACACACACACACACAGACACAGACAACTGAATTAGATTTTAAATTGCATTTCCTGAGAAGAAAGAATTTGTCTTTTGCAACCACGCTCCATTAGCTGTTACAAACTGATTTACGTCTTCAGAATAAAAATGAACACATGAACACAAGTGCAATAAAGTGAATACTAATGTTCTGTTTGTGGAAAATAAAAAAAATAAATGGTACTGTTCTAATGATACCGCAATGTTCTGTATTGCTAGTAGCTCAAAACCAGATTTCAGGCAGGAAAAAATATATCACAGTACATGAAGACTTGCCTGACACATAATACGTTTCAGAATATTTAAAGTCGTGTAGTGCGAAAGGGTCAGTGAGATTTTGAAATTGTGTAGTGTGTGCACGCCTTTAAAGTCAACATAATTCATTATTATTATTTTTTACTTATGAAATCCTTTTAGGGGAATTTATTTGAGTTCACGGCCTGGTCAAAGTGCACAAAACTCTCCCTTTAAAAACCAGAGAAGAGTAACGTAAACAGAAAAAAGCAATGTAAGATATTTTCCCGCATATTGTCAACTTTATGCTCACATCTACATTGTCGATGTCAAGAATCTTCGAGTGAAACTGCAGTCCCATTGCTTTAGCTTGCTGGATTGGATGGGCCAACTGGCTGTAAGTCTGCAAAACCAAAAGCAAAGCAACAAAGAATCTCGTCACTTAAGGAATTATAAATTACAAATTTGATGTGAAATGCAACACATCAAAACAACACTTTGTCAATATTGAATTATGTCGACGTACAGCTTCATAGCACCAATCCTTGAGGACCTCAAGCTCTCCTTGAACCATAGCCTGCCAAAAAAAAAAGAAAGAAAGAAGAATGAGTTTAAAGTGGCACACAGGTGCACATATCACTTTGCTACAGTTAAACATGTCAATGACGTACCTCCAGGACGTTGGGAATGATGTCCTTCTCACATTGTTTAAGAAACGAGTCTTTATCAAAGCTGGGGTCTACCTTCAAGATCTCGGTGAGAACTTCAGACATCTCGGTCTTGGAGAACATGCCACCTATTAAGAAACAAAGATCAACAATACCTTGTTTAATTTTACTTCACAGTCTCCTTCACTGAGACTGACCGGCACAGAGTCCACATCTCCTGCACTGAGACTGGCAGGCACAGAG